CTCGACCGGCCAGGATGGTCACATCTTCCTACAACCTTGGAACCGGATCCACCATGGCTCCGAGAAGTCGTACCGCTTCCTGGAGGTCTCCCACACGTCGCTCCACGTCCACCGCCCGGTCTGGAAGGTTGGCCATGGACCGAGGCTCTGATACCAAATTGATAGGGTCCTTCCCTATTCTTCTTGTTTTTAAGAAAGTTAGCTAGGAAACAGAATGAAAATAGAATGAAAATTCCCCAGAAAAATGGATTCAGAATCCTTTTATTAATCAATTCCTCAATTCTAGAATTACAGCCGATGAACTTCTGCCGACTTGAAAAAAAGAAAGAAAGCAAGAAAGATAGTACTGAAAGAATTCGAGGTCTCTCCTCCTCCTTAGGCCAGCCAATCTGTTTCACAATCTTCGATGCCCCTCTTTCCCCCACGTTCCCTCTCCTATATTCGCTCTCCAACCAATTCCCCTAACAGAATTGCCAACTCAGCATCCTCGCTAGTCCTGACCACGTCACCTCCCGTCTTCCCTTTTTTACCCCTCCTAGTGTAGGTAAATCTCAAAGGAGGCCCTGATAGGTCTCTATCACATATACAGCTAGCTTATTTGCAGGACGTGTCGAAAATCAGGAACATAAATTGGGCAACATTGGCCGTGTTTAGAATTGATCTTGTTTATATTTTTCACGTTTTTTGAGAAAAAAAAAATAAAAACGTTTCTAAAACGGCATTTGGCGCAATAAAGATAAAAAAACAAAAATGAAAACAATTTTTTAGTTTAGTGTAAAATAAGAGAGAAATAAAAACAACTTTTAGTCATTTTTCATTTTTTGTTTTCGTTTTCTCCTCTCTTTTGCAGAGAGAGAGAAAGAGAGACATTAATAGGTTTTTTTACACTGAAAACAATCTCTTAATAAAACTACCAAACGCATTTTCAAAAACGATTTCTGTCTGAGATTGAAAACGTTTTCATTTTCATACAAAAAATAAAATCATTTTATAACGAGTTCCAAACCCACCCATTGTCTTATAACTTTCTTGTCGAAGGTGTTAGGATGTTCAAGCAAAATGGTGGCAAGTATATTCGTAGTTGCGTTGTTTTCCAGAGGTAACGCTAAATACAAAATTTCTCTACCTTTGTAACATAACATCAAGTACTGTATATGTCAAAGGATGATTTCAACTTATTTTTTGTGCAACTTTTTTATTTTACGTACCTAGACCGGGACATGGGGTTGCAATTACTTGCAATTACCTAGACCGAAATCATTAATCTACATGCAGTTTCCATTTATTTAAGTACCTTTAATTGGATTTCGTGGTTTTTTTTTTTTTTTTTTTTTTAACAAAATCTGGTTATAACATACCACTCTTCGTCATAACCTAATTTATCATCGTTTCGTGGTTGGATTATTGTTAACTCGTATTGTTACCGTAATTTCATAAAAAATAATTCCTAATTGTATAGGCATTACTGATTTACGTAATTTTACTATTTTATGATCCACTTAACCAATTTATCTTAAAAAGTCCATTGTTTTCGTAACTTATCCTCTTCTAGAGACCAACAAGGAATTTTGCAAGTATTCGTATCATGTAAGGTTACTATTTTTACGTTCGAAATCATTAATCTACGTACAGTTTTCATTGATTTACGTACCTTTAATTGGATTTTGTGTTTTTTTTACAAAATCTCGTTATAACGTACTACTCTTCGTCATAACCTAGTTTATCATTGTTTCGTGGTTCGATTATCGTTAACTCGTATTATTACCGTAATTTCATAAATAATAATTCATAATTGTATAGGTATTACTGTTTTATGTATTTTTAGTGTTCGTCCACTTAACAAAATTGCCTTAAAAATTCCATTGTTTTTGTAACTTATCCACTTCTAGGGACCATCAAGGAATTTCGCAAGTATTCATATCACGAACGGTTACCATTTTTACATTTGAAAACAATAATCAACGTACAGTTTTCATTGATTTACGAGACTCCTATCAGATTTCGAGTTGTTTCATGGTTTGATTATCATTAACACGTATTGTCACCGTAATTTCATAAATCTTTAATCGTTAACTGTTTATGAATTATTATTCTACGTCTACTTAACCAATTTGCCTTATAAATTCTATTGTTTTGGTAACTTCACTTCTCTGGTCCAGCAAGCAATTTCACAAGTCCTTATATCACGTAAGGTTACCGTTTGTACATTCTCAATTATAGTTCTACGTATGATTTTAATTTACATACATACTGTAATTGGTTTTTATGGTTTCATTATCGTTAACTCATATGGTTACCGTAATTTTATTAAAAATAATTAATAATTGTTTACGAATTAACTTTTACTGTTCTCCATATGTGCCTGTACTACTTTACGTTTACCACAATCAAAACTTCGTATTAAATTTCAAAGTCTCAAATATCAGCATAAATTACCATAATTTCGCTAAATTATTGTTATTTCATGGACATTAAACTTTTTGTGTTGGATCTTTAAATCCGTATTCTACATTCCAGGAATCATCACACCAAATTATTAAGAAAATAAGTTAGAACAAATACTTGTCTCCATTAGTGCAGCCTTAATCTCCAGTAGAATTCTTTAAGATAACGAGCACGACGGTTATTGCCTTCCTCAGTTAAATCTCTTTAGTTCCTTAATGGGGTGTTTTTTCTTTAGATGGGAAAGAATGAAAACTGCCGAATGATTTGACGTATTGGGGACCATAACCTAAGTTTCTTTATATATTGCCCCATTAGGCTCCCATTAAACCTAGTTGGGTCAATATGGGTATCCACCCATTCAGCTCATACCCTGTTAGGAGACTATTTGGGCTTTCCATAATTAGATCACTTAATTAACCCAATTAATCAAATAGCTTAATATAAGTGTTATAATATGTGGCCCATAATAATTATTAGGAAATATAATTTCCTAACAATCTCCCACTTGGGCTACATATGATTCCTGATACAATTATATCATACATAATTCTTTAGGCGCGCAACTGTATGCTATTTATCCTTAGTCTCCACTTAAGATACAATCTGGTCCATCTCCTATATTAGCATGAGATCATGGCGGCTTTTGTCACCCTCAAAATGCAACTAAACCTTCCATGGTCACCAAACCAACATAATCAATGACATAGATCGAGTATGGATGAGTGGCATGGAAATACATGCAATGTGATCTCCAACATACCTATTTCCAATTGGTCATTCTTTATTCTTTATGAGATCAATCCTTAATTTTCAAAACATAATGCAAGATTGCAAACAGAAAATTAACACATTCAGAGGGAAAATTATAAAACTGTAAATCCATCTTCTTTATTCTGCAGAAAATAAACAAATAAATGTTTATGTCATAGAACATCCAAAATTAAAATCAACTCCCACTAAACCATAGTATCCTCAAATAAAATAACACCTATATGAGTAGTGCGCTCATGAAAGGCCTTGGGTGTTAAGCCCTTGGCTAGCGGATCAGCAAGCATGGAGTTTGTCCTGATGTGTTCTATCGAAATCTGATCATTCTGAACTCTTTCTTTAACAATAAGAAACTTGATGTCTATATGCTTCGATTTCGTAGAGCTTTTGTTGTTATTAGAATATAGCACTACCTATTTATTGTCACAAAAAATCTTTAGTGGCCTCTCAATACCATTAACCACACGCAGCCCCGTGACAAAGTTTCGTAGCCACATCCCATGATTAGATGCCTCATAACAGGCTATGAACTCTGCAACCATGGTAGAAGAAGCTATGAGTGTCTACTTGACACTCTTGCAAGAAATAACTCCACCTGCCAACATGTAAACATAGCCTGACGTTGATCACTTACTATCTTGGTATCCAACAAAATCAGAATCAGAATACCCGATGATCTCTAGTCTGTCTGATCTCCGGTAAGTGAGCATGTAATCCTTTATTCTCTTCAAATAGCGCATAACCCGTTTGGCTGCTTTCCAATGATCCACTCCTGGGTTACTTAAGTATATGCCCAATACTCCCACTATAAATGCTATGTCGGGACGAGTGCAAACTTGAGCATACATTAGACTTCCTATTCCTGATGCATAAGGAATCTTTTCCATTTCCTTTATCTCAAGTTCATTGTTGGGGCACTGATTAAGACTAAACTTGTCTCCCTTAGCTTGAGAACGATCTCGTAGTATCTGAATTCCTAATACAAAAGAGGCATCACCAAGATCTTTCATCTCAAAATTCTTAGTAAGAAATTTCTTGGTTTCGTGCAATAAGCCTATATTGCTGCTGGCAAGTAATATGTCATCGACATACAAAATCAGGAAGATAAATTTACTCCCACTGAACTTGTGATATACACAATCATCTACCACATTCACCTCAAAACCATAGGAAGTGATAATTTGATGAAATTTGTGATACCATTGACGGGAAGCTTGTTTGAGACCATAGATGGACTTCTTTAACTTGCAGACCATAGACTTTGAATCTCCAGATACAAAGTTTTCTAGCTGGACCATATAAATCATCTCATCAATGTCACCATTGAGAAACGCTGTCTTAACATCCATCTGATCTAGCTCTAAGTCTAAATGAGCCATAAGTGCCATAACTGTCCTAAAAGAGTCTTTCGAAGAAACCGGAGAGAAAGTCTCTTTGTTGTCTATGCCTTCCTTCTGAGTGAATCCTTTGGCGACTATACAAGTCTTATATCTTTCGATGTTACCCTTTGAATCCCTTTTGGTCTTAAATATCCATTTACAACCAATGGGTTTCATTCCTTTAGGCAACTCGACAAGATCCCAAATGTCATTGTCTTTCATAGATTTCATCTCATCCTTCATGGCAACAATCCACTTTTGAGCATTAGAACTCTGTAAGGCTTGTTGGAAGTTGATAGGATCATCTTCCCCTAAGCCTACACCATCTTCATGTTCTTGGAGAAAGACGATATAATCATCCAGAATCGCACTTCTCCTTTGTCTGGTGGATCTCCTTAATGGCACTTCTTAAGGTTGTTGAGTTTGCTTTATAGGTGCTGCATAGGGAACCTCATTGTTGTCTTGTTCCAGAGTTACATCTTGAACAATTGCAGGTATTACAGCCTGATCATTGACAATAGCAATATTGGGAAGAGAAACAAAGTCTTCTTCCTCAAAGACTACACTCCTTACTTTATCTTTTCCCCCAAACTCGACATCCTCAAGAAATCTCGCATTTCCTGTCCTGGAGAAGGACCTAGTAGTGGGATTGTAAAACTTGAAGCCCCAAACATGTAAAAGCCTATTGCTGGGCTTCTTTTAAGTCCATAGTTCATAGGGGGTTTTGGCCACTGCTTTACTTGAAACCCTATTAATGATATAAACTGCAGTCTTTAGTGCTTCTCCTAAAGTGATCCAGGCAAGGAAGAATGACTAATCATGCTTCTCACCATGTCTTTAAGAGTTCTGTTTCGTCTTTCAGCAACACCATTCATGCTAGGTTTGCCCGGCATTGTGTATTGCGGGACGATTCCACATTGTTTTAGGAAGATAACGAATGGTCCTGGATGTTGTTCACCTGATCTGTCATATCTACCATAGTATTCCCCACCACAATCTGATTTGACAGCCTTAATTTTCTTGCCTAGTTGAAGTTCAACTTCGGCTTTGAATTCCTTGAAAACGTCCACTGACTGTGACTTCTCATGTATAAAGTATAGGTAACCGTATCTTGAATAATCGTCTATGAACGTAATGAAGTATTGTTAAGCATTCCATGAAGTCGTAGGGAATGGTCCACATATATCTGTATGAATAAGTTCTAAGACGTCTTTAGCACTGTCGGCACCTAATTTCCTTGAGTTTGTCTGTTTCCCCTTGATGCACTCAACGCAGACTTGAAAGTCTGTCAAATCTAGGGGACCAAGAATTCCATCACTCACAAGCCTCTGAATTCTCTATTTAGAGATATGACCTAAACGCTTGTGCCATAGGGTGGCAAAATTCTCATTTAATTTTCGATTTGTACCTCGTGCACTAGTGTGCAAAATTTCATTATCAGAAGTAACAATATCAAGCATATAAAGATTATCAATTAAGGAACCAGTGCCAACAACATTTGAATTATGAGAAAGACTAACTTTATTATTTCTGAAGGAACAAAAGTAACCGGATTTGTCCAAACTAGAAATAGAAACCAAATTTTGTCTAAACGACAGTGCAACAAAAGTCTCAATCAAATCCAAATAGACACCAGTCTTTAACAATAATCTAAATGTTCCGATAGCTTTAACTAGAACTTTCTTGCCATCGCCCACGAGGATGAATCTTTCACACGAGGATGAATCTTTCAGCATCATTTGGCAGTCGACTCCACAGGCAACCTTGCATAGACATACTAATGTGAGTAGTAGCACCAGAATCTACTCACCAAGTATCCTTAGGTACAGAAGCTAAATTAACTTCAGAACAAACCATAATGAGAGTCTTTCCTTTTGCAGCATCCATAGCTCTCTTTTTGTTCTTATTCTGAGAGGTTGATGCCAAGTGAGCACTTTCAGTCTTATCTCGCTGAAGCTTTTCCTCTTCTTGCACACAATATGATATGAGCTCATTAACAGTCCATTTTTCCTTTTGGATGTTATAGCCCACCTTAAATTGACTGTATTATGCAATAAGAGATATGAGAACTAAATGCACGAGCAAATCCTCAGATAGCTCTAACTTTAGTGCCTTCAGTTTCCCAGTGATGTTAGACATCTTCATAATGTACTCCCTTATGTTCCTCTTTGCCTTATACCTCATGAAAATGAGTTTATTCAGAAGGTTACTCATTTCTAACTTTTCATTCTTGGCAAAATATTGCTCAAGTTCTTTAAGGAACTTCTTGACATTAGTACTCTCAGTAATAGAGCCCCAAAACGCCTCCCGAATGGAGCATTTCATGATCATTAGACTCACGCGGTTAAAGCGGTCCCACTTCTCAATTTTATCCGCGTTTGGATTTTTCGTAGTAGCAGTGGGATGCTCTGTCCTGAGCGCGAGGTCTAAGTCCATACATCCGAGAACGATTTCCACGTTCTCTTTCCAAACCTTAAAATTCATCCCATTCAGCATTGCGATTACGTTAACTTGAGCAGAAACATTTATAGCAGTAGCAGAAACTAAATAGATAACAAAAAATAAAATATACTCACAATTAACATTCATGTCATACACAAGCATAATCAACCATATAATGCATACATGACATAAACAAATAACTCGAAGCAATGTGGTGGGCCCATTTCAAGATACCTAGCACAACACTGATATTTAGTCTTTGGACTAAAAACATCAGCTTGTAAGTGGTACTCTCTGTGCAATAATCAAATATTGACAATAAATCCTATCAAACAATAGCCTTCCTTTGGGCTGACTATTGCTCACATGGAGAGCTTTATAATTGTCACATATTTATTACCACAAGTATACCCATTATTCGGCCAAATAATAACCTTCCTTTGGGCTGATCATTATTCGCATAAATAATAGGTATACTCATCTTTATATTTTAAAATAAATCAACATCCACAACAGAGGTTACTTTGACAACAATAATATTTCAATCAATTTATTCAAAATACAAGACAATTAAGTGCAATAATAATCATATAAAACAAAATAAAGAACCAGAATTTCATTTTATTCAATTGAATCCTTAATTAATTTACACTTAATTTCTTAATGGGTTAAAAAATATGCCTAAAATCTCCAAATTTGAGTTTAAAATAAACCCAAAAAATGCTAAAAATAGTAATTATTTTCTTTATGGTCGCAGGTAATAACCTGCAGCCCTTAGCTCTAATGCACAGGCCCTTGGGCCTGCGCTTCTCTTTTCTGTCACGGGCCTGAAGTGGCCCGTGTCTTTTTTTTGTTTGTTTGTTTTTGTTCTGGGCCGAAGCTCAAAATTTTGGAGAACCCTAGGGTCACATATGCGACCCTTCTTCTCCACTGGCGGCCGCCAGGCCACTAGTCCCCATGTCGCGGCCGGCCGCGACAATAGTTGTCCAGCGCAGGCCAACGGCTGCGCCTGGGAATCCAGATGCTGGCGGCGGCAAGCTTGCCGCTGGCAACACATTTTTTTTTTCTTTTCCTTATGCGGCGGCCTTGGCTGCTGCTATTCCTCACCCCGCCGCGGCCAGCAGGCCGCGGCTTGCCAGTCTCCTTATGCGGCGGCCTTGGCCGCCGTTATTCCTCACCCCGCCGCGGCTTGCCGGTCGGCACGGCCCAACGGCCACACCCGTGATTCTACAGCGCTGGCAGCCAAAACTGTCGCGGGCCATAATCTTCTCTGAAAGGAGAAGACAACGAAGAAAAGGGAAAAAATTTTCCAGAAAAAAAAAAAACTTACTTTAATTAATTCTTTTACCAAATTTTCTTAATTCTTAATTTTCCATACTATCAATTTTGTGAATAATAAATAATTCTGAAAAGTATTCAACAAATATTGATCAAAATCAATCACTAAGAATTCATATGATTATCTATATACATGCTTTTCTTAACAAAATAAAGCATATCTAAAATTCTATAAACGAAAGAAAAATCATATGAATCAATTAACATGATATTCAGCCAGAGATATTGGAGATAAAAATTCTCTTAATAATTTAATGTGATGACCGCTCTGATACCACTTGTTGGATCTTTAAATCCGTATTCCACATTCCTGAAATCATCACACTAAATTACTACGAAAATAAGTTAGAACAAATACCTGTCTCCATTGGTGCATCCTTAATTTCCAGTAAAATTCTCTAAGACAACGAGCACGACGGTTATTACCTTCCTCAGTCAAATCTCCTTAGTTCCTTAATGTGGTGTTTTCTCTCTAGATGGGGAAGAATGAAAACTGCCGAATGATTTGACGTATTGGGGACCATAACTTAAGTTTCTTTATATATTGCCCCATTAGGCTCCCATTAAACCTAGTTGGGTCAATATGGGTATCCACCCATTTAGCCCATACCCTGTTAGGAGACTATTTGGGCTTTCTAAAATTAGATCACTTAATTAACCCAATTAATCAAATAGCTTAATATAATTGTTATAATATGTGGCCCATAATAATTAACTTAAACTTATTCGTTACTCTTTGCACCGCTTCGAATCATGGAATTCTTGGCCATGTTTGGAATTGATCTCGTTTTTATTTTTCACATTTTTAGAGAAAGAAAAAATGAAAACGTTCTCAAAACGGCATTTAGTGCAATAAAGATAAAAAATGGAAATGAAAGTGATTTTTTAGTTTAGTGTAAAATGAGAAAGAAATGAAAAATGACTCTTAATTATTTTTTATTTTTTGTTTTCATTTTCTTCTCTCTGGAGCAGAGAGAGAGAAAGAGAGACATTAATGAATTTTTTATACTGAAAATGATCTCTTGATAAAATTACCAAACGTATTTTTAAGAATGATTTCTCTCTGAGATTAAAAATGTTTTCATTTTCATTTACATACAAAAAATAAAATCATTTTAAAACGAATTCTAAACGCGTGTCATATTTTTTCCTTTTTTCAAAGCACGTTTTTGGCACCGACGTATTTAAACAAGTCTGTTAGATTTCAATAAGCTTAATCCAATGGCTAAGACAAGTGAAGCAACGTTAGCGAAATGGAGGGTGAGGTAAGTGAGACGAGCCGATATATATATATATATATATAATTCAGAAATAGTAGAAAATATGTCAATATGAAAAGCTTAAGAAAGTATATAGGCCAATTTTTAGTTATAAAAATTAATAGGCCATAACTTGTCAACTTATGGTTTATAACCAGATAAGTTATGGACAAACTAGTCAAGTTATGATTCATTACCATACAAGTTATAGACAAAAACCGTGAATTATGGACAATAACTTGTTAAGTTATGGTTCATAACCAGACAAGTTAGGGACATAAACAGTAATTTGGCCTATTTATTAACTTAGGTAAACTATTAGCTTATTAATTTTAATTCATCTCAAGTCTTAACCTATTTTTCTCTTTCTCTCATTATATTGTTCGGTACTATATCTTGGACCTATCCCCTTTTGGGCCTTTGGTAATTTGGACCAAAATTTATCAGCCCACAACATATTTTTTTAATCTCTCTCTTTTTCTTTTTATCGCAAACAATAATATAGGGACTGAAAATGAGAAACCCAAACAAAAATTGAAACTTTTATTTTCTTTCATGATATGACAAATTGTTGATATTTCGTTGAGAATATGAAACAAAGAGCTACAACAAGAGAGAGACATGTAGCGACTTAATTAGAAAACAAAAAATATGAAAATTTCACTTGGGAATTTAAAGAGACTCTTAAAGGTCCTAAAAACCATACCAAATATTAAACCATTATATATATATATATATGTATATATATATACTTTCATTTACCAACATTTAATTGTATCTATGGTTCTTCGGTTAGAGTCTTGGGAGCAAAAGTATGAATAGCATCGGCCACAGAAAGAAAGATGTTACTCTCTCCAATCACCTCGGAAAACTTGGATTCATGAAGCTTGTCGATTACAACTGGTCCTGGATTTGCTAAAACAAGCTGTCAAGTAAAAAATAAAATAAATAAATAAAATAGAATAAAATAAATACACATGAGCTATTGTACTTTTGCAAATTAGTATTTTAAAAACAAATTTGAATTAGTTGATTTTTTAGAATTACATATAATTTATGATTAAAAAGTAATGTCCATGTTTATATGTTGCGGTAAGCAAAGGATGCAATTTATACAATAAACGTCCACATCAAATAAAGATGTAAACTGGACCAGTCCTTGCCCCTGTCCCTAACTTTCCTTACTTGGTTCCTTAATCCGGCCCTTACTTTCCGACCAATGAAATAATGAAAAACACATATATTTAGGGTCCGTTTAGTTCACTGATTCGAGTTATTAATTTGAGTTGAGATGTGACTTTATGTGAGAGCATTTTACTGTAGTAAAAAAATTAGATGTGACTGTTTCTGAGAGCTTTTTACTGTAACAAAACTCAAATCGGTGAAATGATTTTCTTACATTCTTTTCATAAAAAAAAAAAAATTATTTCGTTGCGTTTGGTATGAGGGTTCAAATTAGGGTGATTTTAGTTATAGAACTAGAACTATGATTTCTGATTTAAACTTGGGGTCTAAATCATAGTTCTGAAACCGGAATAAGAACTATAAATTTGAACCATCTAAAATCAAGTAAGGAGGTGGTTTTATTTTTTAAGATGGTTCAAGTTTAAAACATTATATCAGGATTTAAATATTGAACCAGAACCATCTAAATAAAACACTGATTTTTAAAAATTATTTTTTATTTTTTACAAATAAACAAAGGTTTGAATCAGAACTATAGTTCTGGTTCTAGAACCTTCGTACCAAACACAACATTAATCATATTCTTCTAATATTACTGCCCACTTTCTCAAACGAAAAGCAGCACAACTTTATATAAGCAAGAGTGTCTAGAAGAGTTCTCTAATAAGTTTTAGATGAAAAAAGGATTGTATTTGTCTTGTGTATGTATAGAGAAGTGAAGATCAACTTCAGTGATTTTATTATAAGTCTAAATCACCTGAATTTCTCTCTTTTGAAGAGCCCTATACAAATCTTCCAAAGCATGGATTCCACTTGTGTCAATGTCAGTAACAGCTGCAGCAAATTAATATAAGAAACTTCATGAATATCTTCTGTTTTAAGTTATTTATTTATTTTTTTGGCTTTTTGGTAAAGTGGATAGAATCCTGGGAGAAATTTTGTAAAGTTAGAGTGATTATTCCTTACGTGACATCTCCACAACAACATATTGGATTCTTGGTAGATTATTTTCCGCAAAATGCTCTTCTTCATCAGTAACCCACCTCAATATTCTACAAAGACAAAAAAAAAAAAAAAAAAAACCAGAAAAAAAAGAAAAAAAAAAGAGTTTTAGATTAATCTGGCTCCAAGTAAATAATAACAAAAAATTTTCCATTTGGTGATAATGTATACATAATACTGCTGTACCAATATGATTCAACCTTTTCTCTCCATCAGGTAATAAGATAGAACATGTTGTTCAACCTGACGAAGTTGAGTAGGGTTCTCTCATGGACAGAGACGGAGTCAGAAAAATTATTCAGGCGACAAGGGTGACATTGAACTAATGAGATGCGGCAAATAGAGAGATGTATAATTTGAGAAGAAAAATACAATTTTATAAAGTTGCATATATAAAATTTAAAATAAAAAAAAAATGGAGTGGCCGCCCACCCACGGGTTCCATCCCTGCTCAAAGAGAGTGGGCCCCACCTTGCAGGATTATGACAGAATCCGGATAATATATACTAATGCACCGAATACATTCATCTAGTTAATCGAGTTTTTAATTTGAATTGAGATCTAATTTTATATAAGAGTTTTTTATTATAGTAAAAATATTAAATGTAACTGTTTTTAAGAATTTTTTACTGTAATAAAATTTAAATTTTAAATTTAAATTGATGCAATAAACGAAATTTAAGAGAGTATGTATTTATGTACCTCTCTCTAATATAGTTAGAGTTGGAGAAATAAATTGCAGAATCAACTCTAATAATCACAACTCCAGGAATCTTTGCTGCATCTGGGTACTGTTGGATGTTCCTGTATATATCAGTTCTCGGTAGCTTTCCTAGTATTGCAGTTCTTGGCCTTGTGACTTGCAAGATAATTTTGGCAAAAGACAAACAAACCTGTTGCACAAGTAATCAGTACAATGAATATATAGCAAGTAATCAGTTTCGTTCGGTTCGCATAAATATAACTGTAGTAAAAAATTAAATTTAACTTTTTATGAGAACTTTTTTAGAATTAAAAATTTAAATCGTTTAAATGAACGAGACTTAATTCAATTAGTCTTTTAAAGTTATGGTGTTAAGTAACATCTTTACGAAGAGATAAAAAAAAATAAAAAAAATAAAAAATCTCATACCGCGATCAGTAGACCTATCTCAACAGAAAAGAAGACGACGCCAAGGAAGGCTCCGAGGCAAGCAAGGAAGTCGAATTTGTCGATCTTATATATGAGAATTGCAGCCTCAATATCAAACAGGCTAACCACGGCGGCAATAATGATAGAGGCGAGAATTGCATTGGGCGTGTACTTGAATAGAGGAGTGATGAACTCAAGTGTCAGGAACACAACACAAGACATGACGATGTTGGACACAGCAGTGTTGCAGCCTGCCATGTAGTTCACCGCAGATCGAGAGAAAGAACCTGTAACAATGATGATGCTATCAGTACGACTGATGTACTATAATGGCTGATCAAAATCATCTATTGCAATCATGAAACACTATGGTCGCGTTCATTTCACCGATTCGAGTTTTCAATTCTAATTTTATTACAGTTAAAAGTTCTCATAAAAAATCATATTTAATTTTTTCTGTTACAGTAAAAAATTCTCACATAAAATCACATCTTAACTCGAATTTGCGAACTGAACAGGCTTATATTTCATTGGGACATGACCTAAGGAGAGTACTCAACATTAACAGTCATTATATCGCAGACATGAGTTTTGTCATTGTTAAGTACTCGTTTGTTTTACTATGTTACAGTGTGCGATTGGATCAAACCCGTCTAGTGTAACGGTCCCGTTTAGCATCTCTCTTTTTCCGCTTCTTTACTCACCTGTAGCTACATAACAAGATGTCATTGAACCAACAATGTTCATTGTTCCTAGTGCCACCATTTCTTTGTTTCCGTCTATCTGATAGTCTTTCATACCAGCAAAAGTTCTTCCAATTGCTATAGCTTCCTGCGATTAAAAAATAGTTCGGGTTTCAGTACACAGAAATTATTTGTAACCATTTCAAGTACAGTACTAGTTTATCCTTCACTCTCTGTCATATCGTTTACCGTCAGGGCGATTATACCCGCCACAACACCAATCCTAAAGCCCTTGGTAAGATACTCTCCACTGAAGTATATTTGATCAGCTGATGGTGGATTTATGCCCTTGTCGATATGTTTCACCTGAGAAAACACGGTTCCATTAAGTCATCCACCTACTTTTTCTTGATCTAGAGAAGAAAAATGTAAACCGGTACTTACAATTTGAACACCATCTTTATCGGCACGGGTTATATATACAAAAAATGTCGACACAACAACAGATATCATAGGAGCAATTGCAGGCACCCAAAAGAACTTCTTCTTCTTTTTTCCCTGTTCCAAACACGTAAGAGGACACTCAAAAATTGAAACTAAAAATGGAAAATATTCTCCAAGGGAGTTGAGGAAAAAGAGATTTGCTATTCTTACTATGTATTTGGCAAGCAGAAGAAAAGCCAAAAAGGTGACTCCTATAACTATAGTCTGCCAGTTCCACTGCAAAACAGAATTGGAGGAGTGTAAATTTATATGTCAAGGTTTCTGCAGAAAAGTTTGAAAAATGTTGCAGAAGATAACATTGGCAAGTGATTATTACCCCATGGTGCGCCACTTTAAATACCGAGCGCATCACCGAAACAATATCAGTCTTCTTTGTGAATTTCTTTATGCCAAGCAAACCTTTGAGCTGCTGAAGGGAAATTGTAATGGCAGCTCCACCCATGAACCCGACAATTGCAGCATGAGATAGAAAGTCAATCAAGAAACCCAACCTGAAAGAAGTTCCAGCCATTTCATTTCAAGTCCAAAAGAAGGAATAGTTCTGAGTTATTTTTCAAAAGAAGAAAAACAGTTTTGAGTTTACCTGAGACACCCAAGAGCCAGCTGAGTGACACCGGCAAAGAATGTAGCGGTAAACGCAAGACGTCGATAGGGAACGACATCTTCGTGGTCAATCTCATTCTGCAGCAGATCTCCAAGCAGGAGAGAGACCACAGCTACTGGCCCGATGGCTATATCTCTTGAGCTGCCCATGAAGGCATAAACTAGAGGTGGGACAAAGCTACTATCTGCATTTTACAAATGCAAAACAAGTTATGTTTAATACAACTTTTCTTGGGAACAATAGAGAATCCACATTCTACTGAAAGAGAAAATGAGAAAACTTACATAATCCATATTTAGGATCCAAATAGGCAAGCTTTGCGTATCCAATATCCTTTTAGAAAAAATAGACAACATAAAACATACCATAATCAGAAATGAATAGTACCCAAAATCATATAAACAACATAGATTGTTAGAACTTTCAAGTACCTGAGGAATACAAAGACTTGCAATGGTTAGGCCAGCAATGAGATCCCCTTTGAATTTGGCAAGAGTGTACTCCCTCGCCCATCTAGAGATTGGAAAGATTGCTTGGATTCCAAGAATGAACTTTTTCGATATTGGTTGATCCTTGAAAGAGCGCAAAGGTTCATCGGAAAAGAAGGTTTCCTTCACAGTAGAGGTGAATTCCGCCAAGAGGCTTTGCTTAGGAGGCTGTCCGACCTTGTGAATATACGGAATTCTCCCTGACGAATGGCGACGTGATGAATGCGTACTTGCTAGTTCTACTTCCTTCATTGTGAACTCGTCATTAACTCGTCCGCTCATTGCACCAGCTCAGTACTAGTGTACGTAGCCCTATCTAACAACAAAATAACAAAACAACAAACTAGTATTAGCCCTTCAAATATATTGAAAGAGGCAAAGTTTTCCCATTTGGTAGATGGATTGTGTATAATGAGATAGTGATCTAAAATGATTATGAAATCTTGAAACATATCATACAGATAGTTACCAGGCAAAAAAGACAGAAAAGTGTGATCTAAAATGATTGTGTATATAGTATTTTTCTGCTTTGGAGAATAGTTGCAGGCAAAGTATTGCCTTTTATAGATTCAGAAGGAATATCGAAGTCAATTCTCTAAAAAGCAACAGCAAGATGTGATTCACACATATCCAACTTGTGATCAGAAAGTGATGCAGACTGTCACAAGGTCAACCGATAGACAAATGCAACCTGGCTCTTAAACATCCATCAAATATGAAAACATAAATGATGGATTATTGATTAATTAATACATCCAAATGTTAGCATTGACTTAATCTGATTAGTTAATTAGATTACTTAGGTCGATGATATGATCATTAAAGAAAAAAAAAACAAAATGTGTCTGATCAAGGAAACTTGATGAAAATAGATAATTATGAACCGTAAGATCATATCAGAATTATATTAAGCTATGAAAAATGACACGTCAATGAAATAATATGCAAATATTATTAGTTCACATGTGCTTCCATCGGAAGGGATTTGTTTTTTCCTATCCTACCAATAATTTTCCTTAATTTCTTTGCTTAATGGAACTACTATATATAGCCCCTAGTTAATCCACATATTAGCCATGTGGTATAATTAGTAAGAAATGCAAAGTGTCTTTTTCTTTTTCCATTCATCGCGTCCAGCCGTCAGAAGTGCCTATTGATAGAAGACTAGAGATGAAATGACCCCTTTGATTGAAAAACCTTAAACACCTCTCATTTTGGCTTTCAACGTTTTCTTTCTACTTTTGACCTTTTAGAACCTTTTTCCTTGCAATTTCTTAGAAGCACCTAGGCCTCGTTCACTTCGTGAATTCGTGTTTTCAATTCAAGCTTAGATGTGACATTTTCTGAGAATTTCTAACTGTAACAGAAAAAGTTAAATGTGACATTTTCTAAGAGTTTTGTAGAAATCTAAAACTAAAAATTCGAATCGATGAAATGAACGAGGTCTTAATGATTACACACAATTTCTCGCTTTTTAATTTCATGTTTGCAATATAATCCATAAATAATCTGGACGCAATTCCGATCACCATGCTAAGATAAATGACAAAATAACGATGCAGTGTGATCAATACTCATTTTTGAATCAAAATTGAGAATAAGGTAAAGTAGATCCGATATTTAAGGGACTTTTGAACACATTGAAGTATTGTGAAAATGTCTTTTACAAGACATGCATACGTCACAAACACAATAATGGCTAGCTAGTAATATATTTATATATTCTTGGAGCTGTCGCAAAAATATATCTTCTATAAGTAGCATTTGTCAATAAGATTATAAAAATCATTATCCGCCTTGCCTGCTAAGTCTAACCTATCACCAACTTAACAAGTTCATATTATTTGCTAATAATTATTCAGTTTATTGACATCTCTCTCTCTCTCTCTCCCACCTGAATACCGGATCATATATATATGTATATGGGTGATCTATTTCCATTTCAAAGAAACAAAAAGATTTAAAAAAAAAAAAAACAGAGATATTTTTTCTGCAAAAGTACCTTTCAATAATTTCCCCGGTTAATTGCAATTACAATAGAGTTTTCTGTATAATCCAATCCATCGAATATTATATTTTGAAGAAATTTCAGGATCATCCATGAAGCATCAAAAATGATAAATACACACAAATAATTTTACCCTAGCTATAATAACTACACACACTAATGAAATCTATTTCTTTTCATTGAACTTATAATAATGAAATGTTTTTTTATTAGAATAATATTAACCAGTATTAATCATAATATTAATAATTCCCATGAGCTTCTGCTTTGAGCCCGATAGCGTTGATCGAGTACGTAAGTTCATCTCTTTGTTTACAGATTCTACCAAGAAAAGCCATAGATTAGAAGAATCCGAAGAGTATTTATAGAGAATCACACTTAGGTTTGTGGTATTAATAGATTAATGAAGCACACAACAACGGCAAAATTAGAAGTTTTGTGTAATCACTGCATTAATGTTTTGACGATGAAGTCGACGTAGAAGTTTTGGTTAGCGGATACTACGGTGTTAGTTTCATAGTGATTATAATAATTTAAGAAAAATTCCATTCACGCTTACTTGATTTTTACCCATACGTATAAGACCCAACTCTAAACCGTGATATTAAATCACAAATTTATTCGAATAAAAAAATATTACAAATAATGAACTTGAAGAAAATCTATCATAAGAAAACATTTTAAACCTATTGTATGGTATTCTTTTCACACACTACCAAATAACTCTTACCTTGTTTACTTTTGGGTTAATTCCGCGAATGGTCCTTGAAGTTTACATTCAATTCTAATTTAATCCCTGACTTTTTAAAGGTCACACGATGATTCTTGAGATTTTATTTTGTTTCAGTTTCGACGTTTGGAAAGATTTAATGGGGAGGCATAAAAAAGTACATAATTCTAAAAGGTTTAGATATTTTTTATTGTACTAACGCATAATTATATATATGCGGGAGAGAATTTACGAGGCGCCTCGTCAAATCTAAACCACACCTGATTCTTCATGCTTCTCATCAAATCTTTCTTTTTTTTTTCTTTTTTTTTTTTTTTTTTAGCTTTTATTCCATTTACTTATTTATTTTAGAAAGCTTCTCATGAAATCTTGATAGTAAATTTTTCAAGCTTTTGAATTTTTGAATTTGTAGAAAGTATTTGCCAAATGTGTTTTTCAAAGAAGTAAATATTACTTGCTTATTTTTACCATATAGAAAAAAATAAACTTAATAACTAATTAAGCAAGGTTGTTAATCATAGTAATTTTGTATCCTAATTTGGCTCGCCCGAAATCTCTAATTATCAACGCTCTTACTCTTTGGATATCGAAGCGCATCCCACGATCCCATAATGGAAACAGCACATCAATATCAGTATGGGAATTGATATTTTATTTTCAAGAACGGAAACCAATGGTATGGATCACATGATATTGTTATTATTTTTATCGAGAGGATTGATATTGTTGTTATTTAGATATTGATATTATTTGTATATATTTGTCACATGATATTGTTATGGTATGGATCACATGGTATTGTTAGTAAATAAGTATGTATTTGTCCATGTTGGGATTTTCAGACTAGGTGTTGATATTTAGATATTGATATTATTTTGGATTTGACTTGTAGGATTGGTTTGATTGAGGATGATTGGAGATTGATTTGTTGCAATCCTTTTTGGAAAGATTCGGATTTGTTCTTATATGGTTCCCTATTTTTATGACTCTAATTGTGCTTGTTTTGGAAACTTTGATTTGATGAATGATTTGATTGAAGAATGATTGGCAGCAGAGAACTTACTTTGGGAAGCTTCTATTTATTTGGAATCTGGTACACGACAATCGATTTGGATTGATTTGGTTAAAGTCAACATTTGGTTGTTTCGGTAAGTTGAAAATAGATGGGACGTTTGATTTGGAAAAAGAGATTTTAGTCTGCTCAACAAAACGTCTAGGTTTATGGAGTATCCGACCAGAATCATGCTGCAATGTAGTGAAGATATCAAGAATCAGTCAAAGTTGCATTTGTACCAGATTTTACAGCTATGTTGTCGTATTTGTTGCAATAGAATCTACAACAAACTATACGCAGTGAATTGTATTTAAGAATTTGATAGCTGTTTTGCTTTGACTATTTAAATAAAGTCTCATAGCACGCCTTTTGAGCCTCAGAATTTCAAAACAAGATCATTTGTGAGCATTTTTGCTTTCATATTTCCTCTGAAGAAGGAATTTGGGGTTTCAAGAGAAAATTAATTGTTGAAAAGATTTTAACTTTATAAGTCGAGAGAATCTCACTGAGCAAGTCTATTGGATAGTTATAAAGTCATAGGAGTCATATTTAGAGAGAGTCTCGACTAGAATAAGTTCATTTAAGTTGTAACTTTGTTTACTTAGTGGATTGTTAAAACGTCTAGACGTGTAACAAAATCAATGATTTGAGTTTAAGTATATGAAATAAACGGACCCTAAGTATTTGAGTTTTGAAGAACAAAAGTGTCCCCGCAATAGGTTTATAGCAAGTAACAACTTGGGAAGTTGAGTTGGTATCAGAGCAAGATCTTGCCATTCTACCCCACACTGCTATGTACACTTCGCTTATGCACAAGTCCAAGTAAGTTAGTTTCATTTAATAAGTCAGAATTTCATTTTGAAAATTTGTTACGAAATATACGTATTCCATCATGGATTTATTGGCAAGTACTCCCCAACTAAGAGCTTCATCGGACATTTTAGCCGCACAAGACGTGGTTGATCTCCGAGCAACCCGCCCATATAACTATACCGGAGAGACGCATGCAGGAAGAACACAAGACTCGTTATTTCGCCTCAAGACACCTGCATCGCCTGAAACTTCCTTACAAGCCCCCGATTGGCAGCCATGCAGATGAGCGGACCTACATGTATGCGGTAGCGCAATTCAGTAGGATCCAACCCAAATGACATGGGCATGATTCAAGAACACTATTAGACGCCAGTTCGCAGCTCAATAGCCTCTACCCAACATCAAGAAGGCATTATATTGTAGCGAGCCTACGCATTTTTTGTACAGAATCTATATTGGCACGGGAATCCCGGTGAGACGATGAGAACCTACATCGACCGTTTTGTTAAAGAGTTTCTTTTCTTGTCACCATTCCCGGTACCTCCCCAGAGCTGCGAGTTTTGACGAGTTATTTGAAGATAAGGATGATTAGGATCTGTGAGAGGACGAAGATGGAGTCATTGGTTTTAGAGTAAGCG